AATTTTTGCTTTCAAAACACCCCTAATCAACCAATCAGCTTTCAAACCACACCTAATCAACCAATCAGCTTTCAAGCCACACCTGAGCATTCAATCCGCATAAAAGGACTCCAAGAAACAGGCGCTCTGATACCTTATTGAGAGGGACTATACTACTACTCCTACTCACCATGCCAAAGTCAAAGAAAATCAGTCTTGAGCTCAGAAAGAAGATAGTGGAGGCTCATGATAAAGGGCAAGGCTATACTGCGCTTCACAGTTTCTAGAACTGCTGTACATTGCATCATTGCGAAGTACAAGGAGACAAATTCTGTTATGTACCAAAAGCTACTAAATAGCACTGGTGAATGTTTGATTATATCAAGTTTTATCAATGCTGGAAACATTGGGAAGAATTTTAGGAAAATGTTCCATAACTCCTGGGGGGCTGATAATTTAGGCCTCAACTGTATGTGTCTAAGTANCAATCAGCTTTCAAACCACACCTAATCAACCAATCAGCTTTCAAGCCACACCTGAGCATTCAATCCGCATAAAAGGACTCCAAGAAACAGGCGCTCTGATACCTTATTGAGAGGGACTATACTACTACTCCTACTCACCATGCCAAAGTCAAAGGAAATCAGTCTTGAGCTCAGAAAGAAGATAGTGGAGACTCATGATAAGGGGGAAGGCTATACTGCTATTTCCAAGCGCTTCACAGTGTCTAGAACTGCTGTACATTGCATCATTGCGAAGTACAAGGAGACAAATTCTGTAAGAAACAAACATAGGCGTGGTCGAAAGCGCAAGATTTCAAGAACTCTGGAGAGGAAAATAGTCGGAGATGTCAGCAAGAATCCCCGGACATCTGCCAAGATGATTGTTGCCGACCTGGCCTCTTCTGGATTTGAGGTTTCAAGGAACACAGTTGTGAGGGCTCTTCATCGTGTTGGGCTTCAGGGCCATCGTCCCAGAAGAACCCCTTTACTCAACGAGTGGCACATCAGAGCCAGACTGAGTTTTGCCCGTGAACATTTGAAAGGTAAAGATGAGTTTTGGAAGTCTGTGCTTTGGTCTGATGAGACTAAACTGGAACTGTTTGGGCACATGGATGTTGCTTATGTTTGGCGAAGAAAGGAAGAGGCCTTCAACCCTTAGAACACATCATGCTGTGGGGCTTTTGCAGCCTCAGGCAGAGGGAGCCTTGTTCGGGTGCAAGGCATCATGAAAAATAAAAATGATGTTGACATTTTGAGGGATAATATGAAAAAATCTGCTCTTAGTCTTCGCTTAGGTCATCGCTGGGTCTTCCAACAAGACAATGACCCAAAGCACACATCAAATTTGGTCCAACAGTTCCTAAAGGACACCAAAACCAAGGTGCTGGAGTGGCCCACACAAAGCCCAGATCTGAATCCTACTGAGAATCTGGCGGGTGCTCAAAGTGAATGTCTATATGCTCGGAAACCACGCAATTTGGACCGGCTGGAACCATTTGCAATGGAAGAATGGGCCAAAATCCCTCAAGAGACCTGTGCCAACCTAGTGAATAACTACTCTAAGAGGTTGTTGTCAGTTGTGGCTCAGAAAGGGCACACTATTGACTATTAATGGCCTGGGGGCTAATATTTTTGACCAACCAATTTTTCACTATATTTGATATAAAGCATGCCTAAAAACGTATGTTATGTACCAAAAGCTACTAAATACCACTGGTGAAGTTTTGATTATATCAAGTTTTATCAATGCTGGAAACATTGGAAAGAATTTTAGGAAAATGTTCCATAACTCCTGGGGGGCTAATAATTTAGGCCTCAACTGTATGCACATCCTTAGCTGTTAGTTCTGTGAATCTGCCAAATAAAAGTGTTGTTCATAATTGACCTGTATTTTTTGATTCTCTGACTATTTGCTTTTGCTACCTAGCTGCCCCAGTCTTCTTGACTGAGCTACAAAGTCAGGATGTTCCTGACGGTTATCCAGTCAGCTTTGACTGTGTTGTGATTGGCAAGCCCCCTCCCACCGTTCGCTGGTACAAGGACGGTAAATTGCTGGAGGAGAATGACCATTATATGATTAATGAAGACCAGGAAGGCTGCCACCAACTCATCATCACCACCGTGCTGCCCACTGACATGGGCGCCTATCGTTGCACAGCTGAAAACAGCAGCGGCATCACTGCCACTAAGGCTGAGCTCAGGGTTGACAGTGAGTAAACTTGCATGATGTGCACACAAACGTTTAAACCGCTGTTGACAATGTCTCTGTTTTTGTTTGCTTGTTAAATCCTACTCAAAAGTGTCCTCACATTGAGACATCATTGCAAAAGTGACCCTTGTCCAAACTGGTCCAAAATGATTGTAGAAAATGTCTGAAACTCAACATTGCACAACTACATGTTTCCACACACACATTGTCCCTGATTTTATTGATCACTGATTAATACTATACTTCAATCTTTCCATCAGTGTCTTGCAGCTCAGATTATGACACTGCTGCTGATGCCACTGAGACATCTTCCTATGTCAGTGCCAAGGGCTACATGTCCAGGTGAATTTACTTTAAATGTTGTTTTATGCTGTAAAGACAAAAATAAATAAATATATTGATAAATACTGACATCTATATGTATTCTGTTCTTCTCTCCTTGTGTAGGGAAACTGAGACATTTGAGTCTGTAGCTGAAGATGATCAGCTTCCACAAGTTGTGGACGAGCTTCATGATGTTCATGTCTGTCCAGGTGCACCTATTGCTAAGCTGCAGCTCAAAGTAAAGGGTGAGTTTACGAGACAATATACAGATACCAATACCTGGGCTTTGGATGTCCGCCGATACCAGCCACTGATACATTTCCAGTGTTTAAATAATAAGCTGTATGCCTCACTGTGTGGAAGTGACTCGGATCATTCTTCTATGTGTAAAGCAACTTCAGGCTTGACTTAAACTTGAGTTGATTGATAACGTTGATGTTATATTACTACTGCCACCCTTCAAATGTAATAAAACATTCTATTTACATGTAAAGGATCTGCCTGATTGTCACTGATACTCGATCCAGTTAGTCCTACTAATGAGGTAAACCTACAGAAATGTTATTATGTCAAAAGAAAATTCTCTCCAATACATATATTGTCGTCCAGGCTTCCCCAAACCCAGAATATACTGGTTCAAAGATGGCCAGCCCGTGCGCCCTTCAGACAGGATTCTGCTGCTAGCAGAGGGAGATGTTCATGGTGTTGAGATCCTGGAGGTGAAGAAAGAGGATATGGGAGAGTACTCTGCTTACATCAGCAACGCAGCTGGTTCTGCATACTCCTCTGCCCGCCTGATGGTTCTGCGTATGTACTCACACATCTGAATTGTTGCCTATGCACAAAAAGCTTAAGATACTTTGTTTTTAAACGACTTTAGTGTTAAGACATTTCAAGATACAGAACTTATTTTCTTTTGCAACAGGTCCAGGTGAAATGATGCCACAAGATAAAAGAGGTAACTTGCAATTGTCCTACAAGTAGTAACACAGGCACTTTAGGCGATAATAGTATGTTTAAAATGACCATGCTTTTGTCACAGACCCCAAGGTGCCCCTGGTGCCGCCCCGCTTCATTGAAAGGTTCAGCAACAGGAAGGTGAAACATGGAGCCAGCATCACTCTGTCTGTCAAAGTAGAAGGTTAGTTTAATGTATTGTGTGGTTGGTTTAAAGTATTTTAACACCTACAGTAATCTGGGGACATCCAAAATGTTGATCTCTCCTTTCCCTTTACTTTTTCAGGCTCTCCCACTCCAATGGTCTCCTGGCTTAAGGAGGAGTCAGTGGAGGACGTCCTGTGGATAAAGCCTGACACCAAGGGATACAAAATAGCAAGCTCAGGGCGCCAGCACAGCCTCATCTTGATGGACGTGGGCACAGAGTACACCGGCGCCTACACCTGCATTGCCACCAATAGAGCGGGACAGTCCATCTGCACGGCCCACCTCGAGGTCGATGATGGTAAGGAAAACTCTATTATTTTGGCACTCTATCTAGAAATACGTTCACTTTTGAGCAAATTCTTAACCAAGAACACACAAGAGTACAAAAGTGTTACTTCCTTAGTTTGTTTTCTGGGTTTGATTGTAACTGGATTGATGTGTTTATACCCCTTTTCCCTAGTACCACAACCAAAGAAAGAGACCAAACTCTCAGAGCAAGTTCTTTTTTCATATTGCACCCTGAAAAAGACATGTGTATATATACAGCACATTTTAAATACATGTTTATATGAAAATAAAATCTAACATTGAATTCTCTTCAGGGTGTTTGGATTCACAGTTAGTCCTCCAGAAGAGGAGGTTGTCAAGGCAAAAGGTGAGACATATCCCCTTATACACTGGCATTTCATATTTATAGTAATATGTTATATATATACATTATATAGTAGCATAAATGATTTGTAGCAATACATACTGCAATATTTATGGTGTTTTCTCTCTTTGTGTGTGCCTTAAGAGAGTAAAATGTCCTACCTAGGTGAAGTAGGTACAGAGGAATTCCTCATGAAACTGACAACCCAGATCACTGAAATGGTTTCGGCAAAGATGACCCAAGGTAAGTGTATGCTGTGGACGAATTATGCGCAGCAAGGCAAGAATACAATATCTAGGTTTTTTTGTTTCTTTCAAGAAAGCTGATTTAAAAAAAAAAATGTTTCACTTGAGCTAGCCTGAACAGCAGATTCAAGTGTTTCTACAAACCACATTTTTAAATCACAAAGCTTATTTGAATAACGGCTTTATGTAATCAGATAGCATGAAATTAAGCATACAGAGGGGTAGATATCCCTTTTTGGCTCACTGTAGAATATTTACAAAAAACACAGGAAAATGTTTCACTTTAAGACTTTAAGGTATAAGGTAAACACTCAACCTGCATGCACAACACATGTGTTCTGTTCAAAATGGGATGAAATAGATTCCCAGATTATTTTTTCAGTGTGGAATTCATTATTATGCTCTTATCATATGTGCAGCAAACTAACTGACAAGATAACATGTTGTAGGTCAAAGAATGAAAAATTGCTAACTGCCATGAATGGCTTTGCTAGTTGCTAATGCTAAAGAGGCTAAAGCTATACATGTAATCCACAAATTAAGTTGGATATATGGTTTAATTAACAACATACTTGGTTGAATTCAAATGAACACTTAAGTTTGGTTGAATTCAGTGAAATGATTCTGATTATACAAGAATTCTGAACGTTTTTAATCTGAATGTGTTAGTACTACAATTCTTGACTTGCCATTCACTTTCCATTACATTTGAGGTGTTGCTGTTCTACTTGCCTGTGCATGTTGTTCTCTATCCATGAGCATATGACTTATTATTGCCTCATACAAACATAATCTCTTTAACACCTGACATCCATTAATTTAGCAATCCAACCCAAAACAATCTCATCAAATCATTAATTTGTTATTCAGACAGTTCACAGAATCATGAAGTGCTCCAGTGGATGAAATCTTGGCCCAAAGCTACCAGTATGTATCCAAAGTGCTTCAGCTTCATCATTAATATGCATCTTCCCATTGAGTTTTGGATACAGATGTCTTATATATTATATATGAAGAGCAACTACTTCCTCTTTTGCTATTTCAACATTTTACTTGTTGAAATTTCCAATTTAATTGAAATAATCTGTATATGAATATAAGGCTCACCAATTTATAGCTGAAATACATGCTCACTGACAGACCTGTATGTGTAGAGCTCAGATAATACGTTTTATCTGTAATGTAGCTTTTTTTATGCATGTTTTCACAATACTAACACACAGCAAAGCATTAAGAATGAAACTATTGTTGTGGAATTTATTCGTATTCTCTCTCTACATCCCACTTTTTTCATTAATTTAAACCAATATATAAAATGATCGAAAGGGGTAAAGACTCAATATGTTTTGATGGGCACTACCAAGTAAGTAAAGCACCAGTAGATGCCAGTAAAGAGTCACACAATGCTTTAAATGTGACCTTGAGATGAAGGTCCGGCCTCTGTGAGGCTCTGAAACACTGGCCACCAATAACTGATACTAAATTCAAGACCAAAACAAGTATCTTCATTAAGAGCAAGGTACGGCATGATAATCATTAATCATGATACATAGCAGTGACATGTTACGGTTAAAAGATAGGTTGTTTTAATGGTAAACTCTCCTTTTTTGTTTTCTTCAATTGACCTGTCTTCTTCTGATTGCCCCAGCTTCATTACGCGTACCAGGTGCTGACAGTGATGACGAGACCAAGACTCCTTCTCCTTCACCTCATCACGGCCGCTCTCGTCCTCCCTCTCTCATCGCTGACTCCTCCTCTGAGTCTGATGAGGGGGATGCCAGGGGAGAGGTGAGATATAGAAAGAATCACTGTTGTAATATCAACTCAAAACCCACCTGTTCAAACTGGCATTCTCATCATAAACTGTACCCTGTGTCCTTCTGCAGTCCATTTCCTGTTTGTCTTGTTCTACCCCGGCTGATATTTCACTAAATCCACTGTTTTAATTGTTCCCTATATTGCCCCTATTGTAAGTGTCCTTGGGTGCCCCAAAATGTATTTATTGGTCAAAGATATTGATAAAACACTCTTAAGTTATGGATGTGGTATTGAAATAGTCTGTCAGGAATATGCAGCTTTAATATAATGTGTGCTGTCATTAAAATGCATATTTTTACAGATGTTTGACATATATGTCGCAACGGCTGACTACAACTCCACCATATCAAACAAAGAAGCCATCTCTCTGAAGGAGGGACAGTATGTTGAGGTTTTGGACTCGGCTCATCCTCTCAAGTGGTTAGTCCGGACCAAACCCACCAAAACTACACCATCGCGCCAAGGCTGGGTCTCACCTGCCTACCTGGACAAGAAACTCAAAGTAGGTTTAAAACAATTTTTTTTTATTAATTGTCTTGCAAACTCTGAACATTTGTAAAGTTATAAATGTGTGTTCCCACAGCTATCTGCTGATCCGAGTGACCTTCCAGAGAATAATGATGAGGAGGTGTCTGAGGGTGAATACAAGAGGAAATTATTGTAAGTAAAGGGAGTCTAAACTCACTTATCGAACAATACATTTATATGATGTATTATAACAAACTAATATTTCATGTCCCTAGCCAACTGATCCAAGACCTGATAAACAGTGAATCACAGTTTGTGAAAGAGGTCGACTTCTTCACCTCCCATCACGTGAAGCACGCAGACAGCCCTGATGCACCGCCTGATGTCAGCAGCCAGAAGGAAGCCATATTCAGGAACATTGATGATATCCAGTCTTTCCACAGCAGGTGAGCTCAACGCTTAATGACTTGTCATTTTAGTGCGATATTTTTTCGGAAGAAAGTAAAGAAAATCTCCTTTCTAAAATGTTTAATGCATTCCCCAATATTTTTCTTTTAGGGCATTCCTCCCAAAGTTAAATGACTGTGAAACAGATGATGACGTAGCCATGTGCTTCCTGAAGAACAAGGAGGGCTTTGAGAAGTATCTTCAGTATCTTCTTGGTCAGAGTAAGGCTGAGTCGGCTGTCAGTGACAAGGCCGTTCACCGCTTCTTCAAGGTAACACTAGTTTCTTTCTTTTTTTTCTTTCTAATTTTTGTTGGTTCAACCCATCAAAATCAATCTAATCTATCTGATTGTTTTAGTCATTAGGGTGACTATGGACCCGTATAACTACATACATTTAAAAATCTTCCTTTCATGACATTATAGGAGTACACAGACAAAGTGCAAGCCAGTGCAGACCCTGCAGACCCCCCTGTACGCAGCATCAACGCCAGCCTCCAGCACCCACTGGACAGGGTACAGAAGTACAAGGCGGTCCTCAAGGTGACAGCTTTGACACACGATATGCATGAAAGTTAGGAATACATCCCATGCAAGTGTAGATCATTTGGTTTTAGACCTGTGTCACTGCAGTTTAATTGAAATCTCTCCATCAACATCTCCAGGAGCTCATCAGAAACAAGGCAAAGAATGGCCAGAACTGCTGCCTCCTGGAAGAAGCGTATGCCATGGTGTCTGCACTCCCTCAGCGCTCTGAGAATACCCATCATGTCGGCATGATCGAGAACTATCCTGCCACACTGGAAGTATTAGGAGAGCCGATAAGACAGGTAGGCAGAGTTGCTGTGGCTTCCCTGAGTAAAGGGATCTCGGGCAGGATTAAGTTTGTCTAATTGTTTTTAAATGTTTTCCCCTTTTAAAACCAGGGACCCTTCCAAGTGTGGGAAGGCGCTCCTGGAATAAGGACGTCCTCTAGAGGTCATCACCGCCACGTCTTCCTGTTTAAGAACTACTGTATAATCTGCAAACCCAAGAGAGACAGCAACACAAACACACAAGCATATGTCTTTAAGAACATGATGAAGGTGACACTTTTAATTGAATCACTCCTCTTTTCCTATTTTAGACTTCATTCCGAATTGTTAACTTACTGATCACCGGCCTCAATAATGTTTTCTGTATTATTCGTCTCGTTTCAGTTGAATAACATTGACGTGAATGAGATAGTGGAGGGTGATGACCGTGCCTTTGAGATCTGGCATGAGCGCGAGGACTCTGTGAGGAAATACACCCTGCAGGCCCGAACTGTTAACATCAAGAACTCATGGCTGAGAGACTTCAGAGAACTGCAGCAGCGATACAGCACGCCTGCATGGAGTAAGTGCAACACACAGTCCAAGGATACATTCACACTAATAGCAAACATCCTTTGTGCACACAAGTGTTTTAGCTCACACACCTGAAAACGTACATCACAAAATCATTCATGTACAATAGGCGTACGTAAACATGAAGCAGATGGTCTCCTTACCAAATGGTTGTTTAGTTGTAGACTGTGCTGTGAGAATAGAAGTGGTGAAAGTGGTAAGACTAAAGATGTCTTTGTTTGGACCAGTGATGAGGTGGACCTGTTACCAAATATAACAAATGAGAATTTCTTTCTTTCGGGACAGCACAAATCAAGAAGGTCTCATGGGTGTTGTCTTGTTTTCTGTTCACGCCTGTCCAAACTAAAATACAATGCCAGAGTTGTCAAACTAAAACAGGGTCACCAGCATTTTTAACAAGTCTCTGATTAAGGGGTTTGAAAACCCTGTAGCAAAGTTGATGCTAGACTTTCTAACACTGACTTTCTTTATGAATCTCCTTTTACAGGTCGTCCTGACTTTGATGAAATCCTGGCTAACTGCACAGCGGAGCTCGGTCAGACTGTAAAGCTGGCCTGCAAAGTCACTGGAGTCCCCAAACCTACGGTCACGTGGTACAAGGGTACGCCATTTTTAATCAGTCATTTGCTCAAATGGAGAGTAATACTACTTTGCATTGAGTGACAGACTAATTACTGTATACAAACACTATCTGAAGCCAAAGGTGTTTCATGGTTTACTTGTTGGATGCAGATGGGCGTGCTGTGGAGGCAGACCCTCACCACATCATCATCGAGGACCCTGACGGTTCCTGCACGCTGATCTTGGACAACATGAGCGCAGATGATTCTGGACAGTACATGTGCTTTGCCACAAGCTCAGCCGGCAATGCCAGCACTCTCGGCAAGGTCACTGTCCAGGGTAAGGGGTTCAACACAGAAAATATCAGTCACACGATGCTTGAAAAAAATTGAAGTGAAGCTTATTTATATTTAGTAGATAATGTTATTTAAACGTGTATTATATTTGGATATATTTCTTGCAGTGCCTCCTCGCTTTGTGAATGCAATGAGGAATGCTACATTTGTTGCTGGTGAGGACACTCAGTTCACCTGTGTCATACAGAGCGCCCCCAACCCCAAGATCAGGTTTGAAATCTTCAGAATATTCAAAGTAAATTCAAAAGGTCCCTTGTAACATCTGTTGCCTTGTGTGTTAACCTTTATTTCTCCTCTCTACCTGTGTTAACCGTGAAGGTGGTTCAAGGACAGCAGGCTTCTGACTGACCAGCAGAAGTATCAGACCTACAGCGAGCTCCGCAGTGGGGTTCTGGTTTTGGTCATCAAAAACCTGACAGAGAGAGACCTGGGACACTACGAGTGCGAGGTTGGTTGGTTTTCTTGCAAGTTTGCTATTTTTATGCCATGTGATATTCAAACTGATAGATATAGAGAAAGTATAAACATTCTGTTGACTCTTAGTCAGTTGATAGACAACCAACAGGCATTTAAGACTAACAATATATGTTCTGCTTTTGCCAGTTGTCCAACCGTCTGGGCAATGCTAAGTGTTCTGCTGATTTGACTCCTCCCTCTCCTGTGGCCCGCTCTGCTGAACAGGCCATCACTATTGAAGGTAAGGACACTGACTACATCCTCACACCCGGAGCTGGAGCAAAACATGGTTTTCATGCGGGTTTAAAGACATAATCAGTTGATGCATCTTATACTTTAAGAGTATTGTACCTATGTTGTTAAACTAATCTATTCTGTTTCCTCCCATAGTCACTGAGCAGGAGACGAGAATACCAAGGAAAACCATCATCATGTGAGTGTGAACCACATACTAATTATTTTGTGCCTTACATGTCTCTTGCCTAGATCTGATCTGATCATCTGTGCTTTACATGTCCTTTTAACTATAAAACCAAATTAAACCTAGACTATAAAAGGTTTCATAACTAACTGTGGGATCATTTGTCACCATCCAGAATGTTCAGGGATAATTGTTTCAGGACAGATTATCCCCTGCAGTTGCTCTTTTAGTGATACAGATGCACTGAATGTTTTATTCTTGGCCTTGCTGTTTAGATATTGCTTGCTAAGAGATAGAATGCTTTTAGAGCTCTGCTGTATGTCTATCTGCTTCTGTAAGTGTGTGCATTGTGGTGTAGTATTTAAAGCCTGAGTGCAGGGGATTCTCTCACAATGATGATAGAAAGGATGGGCTGTCTTCACCAGGGTAGTGTCTCCTTAAACCGGCAACTGTATCGCTGATGCTTATGGGAAGTGCTTACTGGTTCTTGGAGTCAGCCTATCCTAGTTAGATTTATATCTCATGTTCTCATGTTAACTGGTTGCTTTTGTCTCTTCTACAAATTATTTTAATGTCCGTCTTGAAATGTAAACACAGCTCTGGCAACCTTTAAATGGCTTGCTTACTCTGATACACTGAGCATTTGTGTTTAATGTTTATACTCCTTTTTTAGGTCCATGTAAGCCCTCCACCTCTTTGTCTTGCGCTCTAAAATGTTGTTTCTCTTCTCCAGTGAGGAGACTATAACCACTGTGGTGAAGAACCCACGTATGAGGCGACACAAGTCCCCCGGCTTGACTCTTGCTGGAGCCCACCGCTCCGAGACCTCCACCCCAGAGCCCCCCACAGCCAGGCCGAAGAGGATGTCCACTCAGAGAAAGACCACCGTCCCCACCCTCTATGTTACTCAACCCGAAAGCGCTGAAGCCAGAGCCATGGAGAGCAGGTGGGTGGAGGTCGAGGAGGTCATCGAGTATAAAGTCAATAAATCTCCCAGGGTGTCGAGGAGGAGAGGCGTCTCCCCGGCAACGTCCGAACGCTCATCGACTCCTTTAAGAGCCAAGAGGTCTCCACCTGAGAGAAACCCCAACACCAACAACTCCAACAACAAGCTGCTGGAGCAGGCTCAGCTGCAGGGAGACGTCAGCAGCTCTCCGCTCTCCTGGGAGGAAGAGGAGGGGAGCGTTTCCCCGGATGCTGTCTCTGGAGACCCCCATGAGCTCTCATCCATCCTCACTCAAGCAGGAGAGGACAGCGAGGACATGGACGATGATCAAACTGTCATCTTTGAGCCCGATGATGAAGATGATAACTCTCTCGGTAAGCAAGAGCCTAAGATCCTGACACAAGGAGGCCGTGTTCTGACTCTGGAAGACTTGGAGGATTACGTGCCAGAAGAAGGTGAACACTACGGCTCTACCAGCACCCCCGCTGCTGAGAAGCCCTGCGAGATCTCGGTGCTGCAGAGGGAGATCGGCGGCTCCGCGGTGGGACAGCCGGTGCTCCTCAACGTGGGCCGGCCGGGCGTGGGGCCGAGGCAGAGGAGCGGCTTCTTCGGCCGCTTCAGAGAGCATCTCTCCAGCAGCCTCTTCACGCCTGCGGCCCCCCCAGCCAGCGGAGCACGGTCCAGGACGGAAAGACACGTCCCCATCCAAGTGAGCCACGCTAAGCTGGAGGTGAAGCCTTCGTACTGCTCCGAGGTGCAGCGGGTCGAGGGCGGGCAGCAGAGCTTTAAAACCAAAGTGTCAACTCAGACCTATGGCTACACTTCAGTGGGCAACCCTGTCACTCTGCAAATAAGTGATAAGCTTTATCAGAACCAGTAGAAGCAAACAGTTTGAATTTGGTACCACACACCCTCTTAGTCTTAAATGGGGACATTTCTACGTACATGGTGAATAAGACATATCCTAAAGAATATTAGCTGCATAACAAACCATTCCATTTGGAAGTTGCCTAGAAAGAAAGAAGACTCATCTTCTTGGGTCTTTTTCTCGACAAATGGCTAGAGTCAGATGGTCTCTTTAGACTAGGCGAATAAGAAAATGTCACTGTAAGCATGTTTCAACCCAATCTGCTTTGTTACACCTGCATACATACTTGCCAACCCTCCCGATTTCATTGCCCTCTCCCGGTTTTCCTCCCGGGGTCATTGTCCCGCATTTCTCCCGATTTCTGACAAAATCAGATTTACTCACGACTGTTTCCACTCTGACTTTAATACAGCTACACCATTGTTTGGTTTCCATGGTAGCGCGTCTCTTTAGTAGTGTGCAACTGAAAGTCTGAGAGGAATCGACAACTCTGCTCACTCCTTTCCAGCCCACACATATGGTGCTACAGGCCGCAAGGCAGTGCACTTACAACTACAATAAGCATGTTAATGTTAATCTAATATCCACTAGCACCCTCCCCCCCCACCCTCCCGATTTCTGAGGTCTCAAGGTTGGCAAGTATGCCTGCATATTCACTCATGCAGTATGTGTTGTATAACATGGGTGGGGAGACAGAAAATGAAATTAAGGTTTGACTGGAGAGAAATGTAATCCTCTTTCGCTGAGTTACATTTTATTTTACAAAAATAACCCAGCTTCGAGTATGGGCGGATTATGAGAAAATGGGCACCACCACCTGTCCTAAATACGAGCAACACACTCTATTTAGCCTCTTATTTTAAGGGTAAATAAAAAGCCTCTAGTTGTATCTCTTTGTAGTTGTTTTGTGTATTTAATGTAGTGTTTCTTGTTGTTGTCTTTGAAACTACAAAAAGACATGAAATCTTACAATCTACTTTGTAATTGTTTTTGGTCTTTTTGTTATATCTTTATTTTGTTGTTTTGACACTTATTGAGGTTTCTTTGAGTCTCTTGGTGGTCATTTTGTCTCTATGTTGTTGTCTTGCCCTTTGACAAAATGGTGTTAGTCTGTTCTCTCTTTGTAGTGGTTTTACTTCTCTTGGTGGTAGGCCCGTACTATACATCCATGCCTTCATGAAGTCATGATCCTTGACCCACCAATATTTACTGATCCAGACATTATCCCTTATGATGACTCCTGCTATATACACAAACAGATACATTATATTAAGGTATATAGATTTGATTTCAGTTTTCCTTTTGTACCTTTCAAAAATGTTGCCTTTTGCACTCACACAGTGCCTTAGATTCCTGGAGTTAACGTCTACTAGTGAGGTCAGTCTCTCGTTCAGTATTGCTATAAGTATAATTAAATGTGCAACACTGATGATCTGCTATTTACAACAGAACTGTGTTGACCGTTTTGGTCCATGGACTGTTTAAGTTTAATCAAATGTGCTGTCAAGTGAGTCAGTGTGGCAAAGTCACACATACGCTCTACTTTGGTTGTTTGTGCCTTAATTGTTGGTGAGCAGCTTCTTCAAATATGGCATTTATACATGAACATCTATTTGATGGTGAACCTGTTTCACATCCGATCTCTGTGTTTGACTACACTCATGTCATTTACTATAGCGCGAGACATATGTTTCTATCAATAAGTGAATGTTGATTTTCTTTGTGCCTCTTAATGCAGTGCCATTACCTGTCATTTTACAGATATAACAGGGACATTCATATGTGGGTGACAGATATTTAGATGAGTGACTGCATGTATTTGCCTTTGCAAAGCACACGTGTTTATCTAGAGTAACAAAAGCTGTAATGATGTATTTGATTGAGAGAAAATGATTATGCAAAGTACTTGAGCTCACATAATTTACTACCTTGCCAATTTAAAAAATGACTAGAAAACAGGAACTTAAAGATGTGTGGTGTTTGCGTTGTTTCTTAAAGGTATTCTAGAAAGTTACATGTATAATATTATGTATTAATATTAATGAACTAACAGATTGTAATGCTCGTACTGTACATGTGTAGTTTTTTGAAAAATGTTTGAATATTCAGTGTTAATAAATATATGTATTGCAAATAATAGCCATGGCCAGTTTCTTTTACAATTAATAGCACACAACATTTACGTTACAACGGAGCTAAAAACGTAAGTATACGTAAAATGAATACTGAAATAAGTCGCCGGCCGGGGACCCTGGGTTTTTTTTTCACGACACTGTGTCTCAGGGGATCTTAATATTTAAGAACCTATTAATTTGTTATACCAGATTAACGGAAATAATCTCAGCTAATTGACGATATAAACCATTTTGACCAAAACAAAACACAAGTCTCAGAAGCATCTAAATGACCCCTTAGTGAAAAATGCTAACGGACATTGGCACAGAACTCAAGATAAAAGTACCCTTATTATTCACTAAGGGGTCATTTAGATGCTTCTGAGACTTGTGTTTTGTTTTGGTNTATCGTCAGTTAGCTGAGATTATTTCCGTTAATCTGGTATAACAAATTAATAGGTTCCTAAATATTAAGGTCCCCTGAGACACAGTGTCTTAACAGGTTAAAATGACACCATAGACATAACACCAGTTATGTAGTATGGTATGTCGATAAATAGGAAAAAAGTAATAGTATGTCGAAAAAAAAAGTTATAGTATTTTTCTACTTCTACTATTTAGAGAACCTGGGGACAACCTGATGAACCATTTGTAGTTTTTTTTTTTCAAAGATTCCAATAATCAAAATTATTTCAGTAGGCTATTCATTTTACGTATACTTACGTTTTTAGCTCCGTTGTAACGTAAATGTTGTGTGCTATTAATTGTAAAAGAAACTGGCCATGGCTATTATTTGCAATACATATATTTATTAACACTGAATATTCAAACATTTTTCAAAAAACTACACATGTACAGTACGAGCATTACAATCTGTTAGTTCATTAATATTAATACATAATATTATACTTGTAACTTTCTAGAATACCTTTAAGAAACAACGCAAACACCACACATCT